CGAGTGGCGAGAGCGCCTGCAGCACGAGCTGAAGACGAACGAGAGCAAACTCTTCAAGCGCAAGCATGGCGCTCTCAAGATCCCGGACGACTTCCCGCGGCTGGACATTCTAGGTTACTACACACATCCGGCGATTTCGAATCAAGCTGGATTGGACAAACTACGCCGGTCAATCCACTGGGATCAGGAGATCGATTTTTCGGGTTTGCGCGAGTTCACCCATGATGCGTTCGACTGGGTCAAGCTCGAAGGCGCAAAACACTTTATTCGCAGTCTAGCGCCGTCATTGGTAGTGCGACAATTACGCTTACGTGCTGGAAGCCTTGACCGGTTGCCTTCAAACGATATCCAGGCCATACAAGAAGACGAAGCCCTTCTCATCAAAGGATTACACGGCAAACGACAGCACCCAGTCACAGACAACTGTACTGAACTACGAGTCAGCTTCACGCCTATCGAGCTTGTGAAAATCGACCTTAGCAATGAGGATCCGGACGACGATGTGGAAATGCCACCACCCAGTTCCCAACAACCTGGAGGGGATGCAGATCTCGATGACGATGATCTGGAAGAGGATGGTCCCAAGAAGCGCGGACCTACGAAGTTTGATCCAGAGAAAGCTGCGCGGATATGGGTGATGGAGACCTTCGTCAAGGTTGGCGTACCACTCAAAGTTCAGGACTGGGAAGTCGAGCGACAAACGAAGCAGAAACCCAAGCGTGCAGCAACTGTGCAGGAGCCTGGCAATGCTGCACCAAAGGCCAAGGCTGCCCCTAGGCGAACGAAGACTGCTGGAGATCAACCCCAAGCTCGTATCGAAACCTTCGCCAAAGTGACCAAACCAGGCTCAAAGCTCTCGCGAGCCCTTGCGAAGACACAAGAAAAGACTGCCGAACCTCCTCTCCCTGTCCGGAAGCATGTGCCGCAGGAAGACGATGTGGTTAGCCTACTTTCTTCTTCCCCAGTGAGGGCTCAGGTCACAGTACCGCCACCACGTCCTGAACGCGAGAAGTCGCTATCTCCTGTTCTCCCAGACCTGCCTCCCAGTGTGAGCAAACGGAGAAGACGCGCACCGATCCAACGTTCGAAGACGCTGCCGGCCAATACCAGCAGTATCCTCGATCGGCCTTCTACACCACCCCTTCTGGATACGATAGAAGTATTGGACTTGGCGGACTCACCAGCGCATCCCTCTCCTTCTCAACTACCTGCGAAGAAAGCGAGAACAAGGAACACCAAAGCCGCACCAGCTGCAAGAGCGTCTCGGGGTGTGTCTGTAGCATCGCAAGCAACATTGGATGCATGGCGAGCATCGGTCACTCCGACTAAACGGCGAGGTGTGACACCAGCACTCGATGCAGCACCAGTTCCAGCACCACCAAAGCTCCGATCTCTATCGGAAGAAGCAGACTCGCTGGATTTGACCCTTTCTTCGCCGGAACGGTCAACGCGACATCAGCGAAGTAGCAGCGTACAACATCCCACAATAACGTCTACGACGCGTCCACCATTGACATTGATATCATCGAATGCGTCACACACCTCTACAGCATCCTCTACGTCTAATAAGAACAAGAGCATAAAAGATGTGTTTGGTGTATCGCGAACTCGCCGTACCTCGCCTCGTCTCAGCAAGACCATGTCAGCGCCTTCTGAAGTCGAATCTCTTGACCTCACATCGCCACGCCTTGTTCCAGCGAAGCCAAGATCAGAATCGCCAAAACATGATGCCCTGGATCTCACGTCACCAGGACTCCTCCCAACGAGACCAGCATCAGTGTCTTCAAAGGTCGATACGCTTGACTTGACGGAGCTCTCATCACCGGTGTTTGAACGCGCACCGGAACCTCGTGGGAAACCTGCAGCCCCTACACCAGCATCTCCCCCACCGACTCACACATCACCTTCTTCTCTCCGCCGATCACCGCGCAGCCACGAATCGACTTCACCACAATTGCCATCTCGAACGTCACCGCCAGCAGCATGGAAGACACGAGAGAAGAAAAAGCGAGCAATTGTTTTACGGAAAAGCATTGTCGGCGCCTGGGACTTTGTGGACGTGGATAGCCCTGAGAAGACCGGGGACAGTGTAGCGGGAGTTGTACTCAAGGGAAAAGATAGGCGAAAATGGAGAGAGAGTGCCGTAGAGGTTCTGGATCTTACATAGCCTTGGTTGGCTATGTTCTGAATATGGGGGTGTGCATTGGTCAGGCGATACATGTTTGGGTTTTTGGTTCTGTATGATGCATATGAAGCGCGGAGTTGCTGATATACCACCTTGAGTTATTATCTTTGAATTATCATTCTTGATTTACTATCTTTGAATTATTATCTTTGAGACGGAAGAAACATCGAAAGTTTCCAGACTGGCCGTAGTAGGGTGGGAACAGCCAAGCTTTTGGTCCCTGCATTCCCGAACTTTCGTCGCTCATTTCAGCCACGACTCAGCTTTCCAGTCTGTCATACCACTGCCCGTTACGAATGACCTCTCGCGTTCCGTTCTGAGTGAATACACGATCGGCGATGCTCACATGGTCCTGCACCACTCGAGATTGACCAGCGGTAGTAAGCAGGATCCGAAAGCGGCCTGCGAAAGACTCCTGGTGCCTGAAGAGGATTTGAAGAAAGCCATTGCACCAACTTGCGCCCGCTGCGAAAGTCAGATCGTTTAGGCCGTCTATAACGCATGTTCTGAGATGTGGAGTCGTTTGCAGGAGAGCCGAGAGTATCTTGAGAGCAATTGGCCAACTTTCATCTGATCCATCAAGCTTTTCTACTCGCGACTGAGCAACTTCGAACGTGTCGCCCTCGAACTCGAATTGCAAAAGCTGAGCGATCAGACTGTACATCATTCCGAGCAGACCGACTTTCTCGACGTCGCGATCTCTTGCAAGTGTCGCAAACCGAGGTCGCTCGCAGAAATGCGATATGATTGGGAGCTCTGCTGTCCATGCTGCGACCAGTGCATTCAAAGCAGCTGCGCGTGAGCCTGGTGTATCAGGCGGTGAAAACTCCAAGCTCGAAATCCATAACGTAGGAGAGCTTACTTCGTTCCCTATCCAATCGTGGAGTTTCGAGGCTACGTCGACCTCTGGAAGCCAAAAGCTACCGTCATTGAAGAGGGAGTGACCTTCAGTCCCGACAATATAGTGCTGTAGATCGGCAGCCAGTCTCCCTGCAGTCGCGCGATTGATCAGGTCGGGTGACCTTGTGTTTCCATCGAAAAGAGCAGGGAACTCGCCACGTCCAGAACTTGGTGCAGGTAGGACAGCAGAGGCTTGGATGCACATGCTCTTATGCAAACTCAACAGCAACTGCTGTGCTCTTTCCCCTGCGAATGTCAGGTCAGATGCATCGGGACTCTGGTGTCTTTGTCGAATCATCTCATCGCGCCGCTCTTGTTCAGTGCAAAAGATTTTTAGTCGCGCAGCTTGAGCAATGCTCTGTTCCCGGTACATCTCCGTAACAGTGTCATCAATCTCTTTTGCGGCCTTTACGTATCGGTCCCTCATCTTCTCATTGAAGCTACTAAAAAACCGCGAGGTTTTGCTTCTCATGTACCATTCTATGGCGTCGCGATAAAAGTTAAACACTCGTGCATAGAGCTCGGAGAACAACTTTCGTATGGCATGCGTGTGTAAGACCAGTAATATCTTGGCGGCGCGTGCTGCTTTTTCAGTGATTTCAGTCACTGTTTCCGAGATGGTATCAGCGATCTCGTCATGGCTGACAGCAGCAGCAATGATGAATTTAAGACTACCGCATAATGCAGATGTGTAGTCGTTCTGGGAAGGAAAGATCGCGAATGCATTCTTGTGGGCATCGAGTCCGCCACAGAGTCTCCGAAATCGCTGAGCAGACTAGTCGTTTGGTAAGTAAGGTACATTCAATCGCCTGCCGTCGTGGTTGCTATCTCACTTTCGACTGTTTGCTCTTCCATGCACTTTCAAGACCGTTCACATAATCACTTAGTTGAGTAAATCCGTAGACGTTTCTGCTTTCTAGGGCTTCGTTCGCCGTCATTCGAGCCGTCTTCCGGCTGAAACCCATCTTCACTAATGTTGACGGTTGTTCTGGTGTTTCAAACATCTGGCGTGTCTTTAGCAACAAAAGCCTAGCGGTCTCAGCCTCGTGAAAAAGAGCGTTGCTTTCACGACTGTCAGCCTCTAAATCTCAAGGTACGCACGTTTACACCGACCTTGGATTCTCATCCTGAAGCAAAGCTCGCATTCGCGCTTCCATCCGCGCTTCTGCGATGGCATCTTGCTCTTGTTGCGCACTGGTAGTAGCGTGCTCGAGCGTTGTATCGCCTTTCAGTTCACCTGTAAATCTTCTTACCAGAGTCAATCCTTCCTGATGCTCGACCTCATTTCTTGCAAAAGCGCCTTCAACTGACATTTTAGCAGATGTGAAAACAAGATTGAAGTCCAAATTACTTGACTATTCGCATAATACGAACGAGGCTATGCATACCCCGCGCTGTATTGGTCACGATCATGCAGATCGATCCTCCGCCCCCAAAGGCTGATTACGGGATGCATGCCATGTATCCACTCTAACGAATCGCAGCCTTTTTATTGTTATCCCCATGCCACTTTGTGTATTTCCAAGTGGGTTGTTTGCGCTCTCTTGCATGGTATATGCTGCCACTAACGCCACAACCAGGTTGCGGTGGATGTGTTTTAGCCGCTTACTACCCTTCTCATGTCAGCTCATGCAGACATTAAATACAGCGCACATGTGCCGGCCGGTGGAATCGATGATCTGACCCCGGTCCAGGCAGGTCAGTACCTGGTCAGTTCCCATCATATGTCAATGCGAAGTCACCTTTGATCCATTAAGCTCTTTTCAAAATTCGACGCTTTCCACCCAAAGCAGCCAAGCAACTATGCATTGATCAAATACCTGCAGATGTACCAACACTCTTGATTCGGGCTCTATTGGTTATTGGAGGCTGTTACTCGTTGAGAGCCATTCGGGTCTACCACCGGCTGCCCGCCATGGCAGCTGTAGAGATTCCTTCGCCGATTTCTATGCAAAGCATTCACTCACACGACACGATTCAAAATCCAATTCATACCTCAGAGCCAGTTGAAAACGCTTCAATCATTGACGTTGACAAAGATGTCTCTACCTTCACCGATGACGTGGGAGGTGTTCCTTCCACAGCAGCGACCTCAGAAGAGTCTCATGAGGCTGACAACATTGCTGATGCCGACAGTAAGAATTGCGAGTCCAAAAAAAAAAGAGATGACTGACAGAGCCAGTAGGCCACCCTTCTCCTGAGACCAAGCTTCCTAAAGAGAAGCACAGAGAAAAGATTCTCATGGAACGTCTTGGCTCCGCTATAAACAAAGGGATCGCAGCTAATTTCGACAACACCACTGACTTGGAGGTGGTGACAGACAAGAGAAGCGAGCAACGCTATATCAAAGTAAGATTCGGTGACTCAGAATTTTATGTTGTGCCATGGACAGCGTGCTACTCTTGGCGAGTAAGTCTCTTGTCGCCACATACTACGAATGTAGTCGCTGATTACTACAGGCCATGGAAGCACTTCTAATGGAGTGGTATCGCGAAGATGAAGACACTTTGCGTGACATCAGTAATGGCGACATCACCATCTTCCATAGAGTCAACGGCTATATCCATCCCCAAACATGGGAAGAGGTCATCGAACATGGTTCTCAGATTGACTTTTGGACTCACTCTGCGTATGACTCAGACAGTTCAGAAGATTCACATCCACCAGAAAGCAAAATGTACGAAAGTAGTGTGCAATATGTTGTCAACTTCCGACGAAGCAGGGCCGACGGTGAGGAGTACTTGGTCACAACGAAGACATACAAAGAACCAGTGGAATTTGAGGTTGCAGACAACAACGACAGACTACCTGCGTTACAGGAGATCAAGGATGTCTTGTCACCACATCATCAGGACACGGAAACAACCGGAGAAATCACCGATGGCAAGAAGACGAAGCTTGGAACCCATGATCGCGTTGTCGAGACAAGTCTGAAGATTAACTCTCAGTATCTGCTCAACGTTCTCAAATCTGTGATCACGTACACGAGTACTGCACCGGAGAAACGGATGAATAATCTAACCACTGGCCTATTTTATCACCCTTACCAAGATCTCTTCCATCACCTTCCAGACTTACTCGAATACAAAAATGGAAATTCGGCTCTCCGTAACAAGCACACCACCTTTTTCAACGAGAAATTTGACGAGCATCTGAACCTCCTGGATGATTACCTAAATTCGAAGTCCGGGGCGCCGACAGCGGAGTTCAATGCGCGTCTTGAAAGGAAGATACCCACTGTCACGTTTGCCACGTACTGGTTGCTGCTTAAGCCAGGGACTCAAGTATATGTTAGATACGATGATGGATCCCTCAATGCATTTATATTACAGAGGGTGGAAGGAGGCCCGTCTGAGCGTGGAGGAGAAAAGACCAACCGGAATTACAACATACTTGTATGGAATCTGATGTTTGATGGAAGAGTCATGTTGCCTGGCTTCCGCAACCTCGAAATCAGTGTCTTTGACAATGAACGAGATATCACTAGCCTCAAGGTTTTTCCAGCTCACTTCATTGATGACAACGACAATGGCAAATTGGAGGAGAGGCTTGTCGAGCGTGGCAAACGCTTCTTCACCTACTGTAAGGCCCCGGCGTTCCTGCAGTATACAGGCAAGAGCTCAGTGGCGAAGAATAAGACGGTAAAGCTTCTTTCCTTTATCTGTACGCGTTATGGCTGACTAGTGGTAGTACAAACGTGCTCGTGTCGTCGTCGAACATGCCTCTATGCCCTGGACCAATGAAGCCTTCGAAAAGGTCGACCATCATTCCCCTGACACATACTCAATTGCAGTTCGCGAGGTGACCCGCGCGGCGCGCTGCGAGTGTAAGGATTGCTGAACTTCTTTTGACTTACAGGAGAGGTACGATAAGGAGCCATTCAGCGATTACTTCGATATCATACCCAGTGAGACTGAAGTGCTTGAGCGCCAACAATATAAAATCATGGACTCTCACATGTATGCCTTTGTCTTGAAAGATCGAATATACGGTACGTTCTGAAACTCATACTGAGACATGCTGGCTGACTTCAACTTAGATCTACTGGATGTTGAAGGACTCGAACAAGCGAGCATGGCTGAAGACGCTATCAGTAGCCTCGTGATGGAAGACAACAACAAGGAGATGATTAAGGCCATTGCTCGAACTTACACCGATAGTGACCAATCTTCAAGATTCAGTGCAGACTTCATCCATGGTAAAGGTGAAGGCCAGATCATTCTGCTGCATGGCCCTCCCGGTACTGGGAAGACGCTCACAGCTGGTAAAGCTTCATTAGAGTGACCTTCTGGCAATGGAATGCTGATTACTCTATAGAATCTGTTGCTGAGTACACCAAGCGGCCTTTGCTCAGCATCACCGCAGCCGATCTGGGTCACGAACCTGAAGCGTTAGAGACGAGCCTCTTGCGCTACTTCAAGAGGGCTAGCGACTGGGATGCTATAGTTCTGCTTGACGAGGCCAGAGTTGCTAACAATCAATCCAAACTGATGAGACTGACTGACTGACTGATTGCTTGGCAGTCAGTTCAGTGTCAGTTTAGAGCTCTCGTCTTATCAGTCAGTTCAGTTTAGAGCTCTTAAACTGA